GCATTTTGGATCAGTATTTTCTTAATACATACTTTAAATTGATTGAGATTAGCCTTTTTCATTGCAGTAGGTACCGCGTTGTAAAATTCCACACAATAGTGAGCAATGCTATTTTTAGATCTTTTAAGTCTAATGAAATCATTTCGCAACAAATGCCTATACCGAGTGGCGTATTCATGTTCGCCAGAGCCATAATTCGCTTGGTTTTGATAAATAAATAAAAGACATTGCAATATAAATTCACACGGAACTGTAATAATACCATATTTTGTAAACAATTGTCGACAATCTTCTCTGTATCCGAGTCCACCAATAACCCTAACACATTTTCTCTGAAAAGCGAATATCCTTCCAGCATGAGCAGAATGACCCCAAATGAGTATACCATAAGAGATAATACTGTGAATTGTGCCAAAATAAGCAGTAATAAGAATACTTTGAGAAACAACACTATAAAGCTTACGGAGCAGAAATAATTTAGTTGCCAATTTTTTTAACATATGATCAATATGAATCTCCCAGGTCAATTTCCCATCAAGATAGAAACCAAGAAATTTTACGTAGTCATTTTTATTAATCTCACTTGAAAGTGAAAAAAGTAAATGTTGCGTTTTGTCTTTATTGGCTAACAATTTGTTCGCTGAGAACCAATTACTTATTTGTGTTTCGGCTTCACTTGACATTTCATTTATTCTGTATATATCTTTCCCAGAAATTAAAACTGACGTATCATCTGCAAATAAAACCAATTTACCATCTAAAGTTAGATTTGATATATCATTAATGTAAACCAAAAATAAAAATGGCCCAAGCACTGACCCCTGCGGCACTCCTGCAACTAATTTTTGCTTAGATGATGCTGAATTATTGAAATATACATATTGTTGTCTGTCAGTCAAATAAGATCTGATCAATTTTAAGCTGTTTTCAGAACGAAGATAATATTTTAACTTGTATAATAATATATCATGACAAACAGTGTCAAATGCTTTTTGCAAATCAAATACACTTAATAAAGAATTTTGTTTTTGTTCGAAAGCCCTTAGTATCTCCGAGCATAACGAATTTGTAGCTAGAGTTGTTGATCTCTTATTGCGGAAACCAAATTGTGAATAATTGAAGAGTGATAAACTTTCAAAGAATTCGCTTAACTGATTTTTCAATATCGTTTCAAATATTTTACCAAATATTGGAACCAATGAGATGGGACGGTAATTTTTTGTGGAATTAATATCCCCTTGTTTTTTAAGAATCGGTACAACTTTAGTTACTTTTAGTTGTATTGGAAACGTATGCTCTTGTATGCAGTGGTTTATTACCTTTGTCATTGGAATAACAATTAGATTTAAAATTGTTTTTAACATTAATATGCATATATTATCCGTATCTTTACTTTTAGAATTTTTCATTTTTGAAACTATATCACGGACTTCATTAAAAGTGACAGCCTTAAAAGTGAAACTTGCATCGTAATCTGAAGTTAAGTACGATCGGAAATCTTGTCCAAGTGTTGGAATATTTCCCTGCAAATTTGAACTCAAATTTATGAAGTAATTGTTAAAATCTTCACATGAGATAATGTTTGTACTTTCAATACTCTTTATTTTGCTTTCAGAATCTATAATCTGCCACATTGCTTTTTGCTTATTCAAAGAATTATTAATACAATTGTCATTGTAAGATTTTTTTGCTTTAGCCAATTCTTTAGCGTATAATTTTTTTTGATGTTTAAGATAAGCTGCACTGATTTGATTTTGGTTAGCAAGTTCACAATAAAATTTAACCTGTTCCCTCATCACCCTAAGTCGTTCCGTAAACCAACTCCCTTTTATTTTTGTTATGTTCGTGGTTCTAAATGTTTTTAAAGGGAAACAAATTTCTACGGCATTTACAATTTTTTTATAAAAAGTGTCAAACTTCTCTTGACAATTTAAAGTATTATTATCTACAAAGTCCCAATTTACTTGTTCCATATGATTATAAAATTTAAACAAACCTAATTGTGTTACAGGACGATGTGTTATTTCCTTTTTTACTGTATTTATTTTGAAAGTCATAAATGTAATACAAACACCAGCATGATCAGATAGTCCAGGGTTGTAAGCGGTTGCTAAATATTTATCTGCGGACAAGTTTGTGAAGATATTGTCCAGGCAGTTTTTGCCTCTAGTTGGGGAAGTAATAAGTTCTTTTAAATCAAACGACCTTAGGAGATACCTTAACGTTTGCACTTGATTATCATTTAAATTAAAGTGAGTATTAAAGTCACCAGAAATAATAATTAGTTCATTTTTTTTACACATTTCAGTTAATAATAATTCTAATTGTAGGAGGAATATGTCGAAACTACCTTTAGTGGATCTGTAGAGAGAAATTATGTTAAAATTTCTAAATTTAATAGCTGCAAATTCAGCATGAATTTCTTTGCAATATCTTTCGACCTTTAAAGTTTTACATAAAGGTAAAACAGAGTTATGGACAAATATACTTACACCACCATGTATATGTTCGCGTCGACAAAAATGTGACAATAACGTATAGTTTTCAAATAAACAGACACCTAACTGATCCTCTTGTAACCAGTGCTCATTGATGCACAGAATATCAAGCGGTTGATCAGCCTGCAGAAATGTATTCGTTTGAAGAATTTTGTTGCTAAGGCTTTGAATGTTCAGCTGAAAAAGATTTATAACAGAATCATTTGAATTACACAATGTAAAATTATTTTTCCTCTTTTCTAAATTTAATGGCTTAGTTAACCTGATTTCAGAAACCTTAACATTATTGTCATTAACATTGGCAAATGATATATGAATATTTGAATTTACGTTACACTCATTGTTGCGCTTGAAGTTTGGTGAGCAGTAGCTGTCTCCTTCTTTAAAAAATAAAACTTTTTGACGATTATTCCACTTGGCCATAGATCCTCTTTGAGACACTCATTAAAAATTTCTTGGTCCAATGTCACCTTAAATGAGATACTTTTGGCATTATCTCGTTTGGATAGCGCTTCAATTAAAAATTCTCTATTTGGAAACTTTGATTTTAGAAAATTGGTAAGATCTTTTTCTTCAGTGTCAAGCATTAAATTTCCTACGTAAACGTAAGCTTTTCGCTGAACAGCTCTCAGCCCTGAGTTTGGGGATGCCTCCGCTCTTCCCCGAATAAATTTCCGTTTATTTTTCTTGGAAATTACAGTTTGAAAGTCCTCCTGTGGCTTTTCGTTTAATGAAGATAACGAATATGTTTTACCTGGATCATCTTTTTTAGTGGGTTTGGGTATATGCTCTTCTCTTCTGGATGTCTGTTTTTCTTTGTTTAACACCAACGAAAATGAAGTTGGAAATGATGTACTCGAATCATGAATATAAATAAAAAAGAAATACTGGAAAATCGAAATACTGACTATTAAAGAAATCAGAAAATCGGTTAATTAAGAAATACAAAAATTGGAAAATTGAAAAATTTTAAAAATTGTAAAATCGAAAAAGATATTGAAAAATAAAAGGAATGAAAGACCAAAAATTCTGCCATAAAATCAGGAAAATGAAACATGAAAATGAGAAAGGAAAAATAAAAATCAGTAATTTGAAAAATTGAGGAAACGAAGAATTGAAAAATGGAAACTTGAAAATTTGAAGAAATGAATAAACGACAAATTATAAAATCGAAAGAAACATTGCCAAATAAAGGGAATGAGAAAACAATTCGCACATTAAATCGAGAAAATGAAACTTAAAAAATCGGGAAAATGAAAAATAAAACTCAACAATTTGAAAACTGGAGAAACGAAAAATTGAAAAACTTGGTAGTCGAAAAATTGTAGAATTGAAAAAATTAAAGTAGCAGAGACGAAAAATTATAAAACCGAAAACGTTCAAAAATCGAAAACCGATAGAAAATGAAAAACGAAAATTGTGATATCAAAAAATTGGCCTAAGGTAAATAAATCCAGATTTTTCGAAAAATTATAAGATTTGATTTTGCGATTTTTTCTTTTTTATGATAATCCTTGAGTCCCCCTGAATAAGTAATTCTAAAAACTATGAGAGGATTCATAAACCACAGGTACAGCGTCATAATACTTTGCATATTTTAGAAAGGAATTATTCAGCAAAAATTTTAGATGACGTCATCAATTTTTTGGAAAGGGATAAACCAATAAATTTTGATGAACGATTTATCCTGATTATGATAACTTCAAAACGTTTGTAAGATTTCAGAGCATTGGGTTTGGCAGTTTCAAAGACGATTTTGATTTTTTTTTTTCAAAAATCTGGATGTCTAGGGTGAAAACTCAACACAGATTATCTGTCTAACAAAGACCGACAGATCGAAACGGGAGATCTATTTCTTTGTACCCTAAGGGTCATAAAAGGTCGAGAAAACACAGAGTAGTGAGTTGATCTATGGACTTACGCTCTGGAAATAAAAATGGATTTTTAGATGAGTTGATTATTGTCTAGAAGTTATAATGAGACTTCCGGTGTAAGAACAAGTAAAAATGTGGCAATATGAAAAATTCTCGGGTCGATTAGCCGTTCCGCTCTCCCCCATTTTCTTCAATTATCCCCCATCTAGTAAATATTTTCAAACATCCATCTGCAAAGTCTGATTAAACCGTCTGCCGTCAAGTAAATTTCTCAACAAAGATAAATTATCCAATTTCTATGCGTAAATCTCCCGAATTAAAATGCAGGTTAAGGGATCTATTAAACAGCTCGAAAAATAAACTGAATCCATGACTTCACTACTAATGCTCAAATTTCGGTCCCACCATGTCGCCTCCAATTAATAGGCTAAGCTTCTTTGCAAGCGAAACACGTTCCGGGTTTATTATTTCCAAACATAGTCAGCGACAACGTTAAATGAACCAAAGGCAGGCTTTCCACGATTTTCGGAAGCTCTACGTCAAACGGGGGAGTTTGTGTGTAATGCAGATGCAGACGTCGTTCGATTCAACCTACAAGGGTTTCTTTGAAAAAGTGCAACGTACTTACTCGAGGTTGTATTATCCCTTCATTTAAAATGAGAACGCGAGAAGAGTTACACCATTCCCTCTACTCCATGCATCGCTGGGGCCGTCCTGGAACAAATTCATTACAAAGTTATTAACTTTGTGTTTGCAGGTGTCACCTGGAGTTTTGCGGGAAATGTTTCAGGAGCGAATTTGGACGGTAAACGACAGTGCTAATTACTGGACGGCCTATTCCGGATAAATTGGGAAAGTTTTAATTTGAACTTATAGCTTGTTTACTTAAACGTCCGATATTGAAATCTGTCGATTACAGTTGAAAAGTGGGTTAAATGGGGAAAAAGTTACTCGCGGATTATTAAAAGTATGAAAGGGAGCGTTCATTATCTCAGACTGTTCTTGAAATCTAATGGAAAACTGAAATTTCATTAACATGGGAAGCGGCAATATTTTTTCCTTCGCTGCCAAATTGAATTAAGGAATGATGGAATTTTGTTTTTAAAGAAATTATTTCGAATAACCTTTGAACCGGCTTTTTCATGCTAATCAATTATGCCGCGTTTCTCCCAAAGAACTGTCATTACAATACTGATATTATTAAACGCACCGAAACAACAGGTTGAGATTAACTTTTCTGTTTAGACGTAATATTTGTACGTTCTTTCATTTTCTTTTTTGTGTCTGAGGAGGATTTTTACTCCCACACACGTCTCGTGATTGAAATACACAAGGTGGTCGTCTACGTTATGGAATGAATATTCAAGGACCAGAAACCACTTTAACACAGGAAATAAGTTTTACGGGGTAGAAAACACACAATGATTTATTTATATTTCACAAAAAATTAATGCAAAAAATTGGATTTCAGAGGTTAGACATCGCTTTTATAATTTTCTACTTTTGATGAATAATTAATTCTTTAAATGTTTCATCTGAGAAATACCAGTGTACACTACGTACACTATTTCGTAAAATTAACTAACTAACTAACTAACAAGTAACTAGAGGTTTTGTATTGCTTCTTGTTATATAAACGTTCAAATAAAAAAGATTCTGTGCCATACTGACAGCAAAATTCACGTTTTTCGGTCCTTTGTGTTCAGTTTTGATTTCTGTCTGGTGGCAGCAACATCGGAGCTCTGTTTTAGCTTAAAAGTAGCACATGTCCGCGAATTTCTAATTTATTGTTAATAAATATTAGTAAAAATGTTTTGCGCTCGTGCTGTAAACACGAAGGAAAGCGGATATTATTCCAAAAATTCCCGAAAACGGAGTAAGTATGATTTGAGTCTTAATTTATCTGGGTCCATGATTCGTGTATTCGACAAATATAAAAATAAAATAAATTATCATGTCATAGTAAACGATATTTAAACATAATTAACACTATTTATACCGTTAAACATAAATATTAATTAACGTTTAAATTTTGTTAAATTAACCCCAAAAATGTACAATTTCCAGGCCAAAATACGAAAATTAATTTTTGCAATCTTATCGTGACGTACGATGAGGTCACTGTCACGGGAGCTATCTGAGCGAAGGTAAAGTTTTTCGGTCCTTTGTGGTTAGTTTTGATTTCGATCTGATAGCAGCAACATCAAAGCATTCGGAGCTTTCGCGAATTTCTAATTTATTGTTAATAAATACTAGTGAAATTGTTTTGCGTTAGTGCTGTGAACATGAAGGAAAGTGGCTATTTTTCCAAAAAAGTCCGAAAATGGAGTAACTAGGATCTTAGTTGTGATTTATTAAAATGTTTAAATTTTGTTAAGTTATGCCAAAACATGAAAAATAATTTTTGCAATTTCATCGTGACAAGCATGACATTTTTCGGTCTTTTGTGTTCAGTTTTAATTTCGGTCTGGTGGCAGCAACATCCGAGCATTTGTAGCTCCATTTTGGCTTAAATCGAGTACGTGTTCGCGAATTTCTAATTTGTTGTTAATAAATACTAGTGAAATTGTTTTGCGTCACTGCCGTGAACATGAAGGAAAGCGGGTATTTTTTCAAAAAAGTCGGAAAACGGAATAAGTACAATTTGAGTTTTAATTTATCGGGGCCTCGAGAAGATTTTACATTTTTAAAAAAAGACATTTGGGGGCCCCGAGAAGGCTTCACATTTTTAATAAACACAGTTGGGACCCCAGAGAAAGTTTCACATTCTTAAAAAAATACATTTGGTTCCCCCGAGAAGATTTTACATTTTTAAATAAAGAGGCGTGTATTTTCACCTTTTCGAGAAAGTGGGATAATATCAATAAAAAATTTATTATGATGTCATAAACATAGATAATGCATAATGATCAGGGAAAAATAATGACAACAAAATAAAAAATCCTGGAGAAGATTAAAACACAAGCTATATATAAATACAGATAATGACCTCACGAAAAAAGAAAGAGAAATACGAAAAAGATAAGGGTAATATCCAAAAAAAGAAGGCGAAGAGAAACAAGTTAAAATGACGTATCATAAATTGATAGTGGATGGGATATAAAAGGTTTTCAATTAAAGGAAGGAAGAAGAAAAGAAGATAACTGCAACGAACAAGGCAATGAATCTCATAATAAGAAGAAGAAGAGAAAATAGAACATCAAAAACAACCAAAGAAGACGAAAGAAAAGAGAGTACAAAAATCTTATTTTTTTCTTACGGGAATACGCAAGAGAATTCGACGTAGTGGTTTAATAGGAACATGGGTGACACAGCAGCAGTAGGAGAAAAAATGGAACAATTTCCAAAAGAAATTGCATGAGAATGTTTGGGGGTAGAAAAAGAGAAAAAAAAGGAAAAGCAAAAAAGAATGAAAAAGGAGGAAAATTGATTTTGATTAAATCCAGTTAGAATAATAATATATTATTTTTAACACTTGCTAAGATAAAACTGATTTTAGCAAATGCCATACCCTGTGAGAAAATAGGGCGCGAGTGCGCGGGGCTAGTACTTGCTAAGGTAAGATTGATTTTGCCCCTATTGAAGTAAAAAGATGATTAAAAAAGACAAAAAACACAACCAAAAGTAGAAAATGGAACAAAATCAACCAAATAAAAAAAGTGAAAAAACAACAAAAACCGACTTCAAAAAGGGAAAAAAATACAGAAAAAATTAAAATAGGAAAGAAAAATCATTAAACATGTGGCAAAGGCCCCAAGAAAAAGTTATTTAAAAAAGGGTGTTAAAAACGCGAACATAAAAATCTGACTAAAAGAAGGAAAAAAAAAGAAGGAAGTCAAAAAAGTAGACAACGAAAATCACAAAGAATGAGACAAAAACGAAAACAAAAACGCTATAAAAAAATATCTGCAACAAAAAATGACAAAGAAAACAAAATTATAGCTACCAATTAGAAAAATAACACAAAAGAAAATACAATACGAAAAAAGATCAGGACAAAAAGCGTAACAGAAAAAGACGATTCAAAAAGGGCAAAAAATCCATAACATGTAACAAAAAGACGAATCTAACAGAGTGAAAAAATTAAAAACAACTACCAAAAACAGTAGATAAAAAAATCACCAAAAAAAGACACAAAAAAACTAGAACAAAAACGCTATAAAAGAAAGCTCCAACAAAATGCGATAGAAACAAGCCGTAAAAAAGAACAAAAAGGGCGGCTACAAAAAATGACAAAGAAAACAAAAATGGCTACAAAACCAGTTGGAAAAATCACAAAAAAAATACGACAAAAAATGTTAAAACAAAGTTTAAAAAAATATTATTCATAAACAAAAAAAAAAAATTCGGCAAAAAATTGCGACTAAAATAAGGAAGTCAAAGAAGGCGATGAAAGAGAGTAATAAAAAAGACGATTAAAAAATGACAAAAAAACACAAAATGTAACAAAAAAGGCGAATCTAAAAATACTGTTAGGCTAATAAAAAATACGGCTAAGCAGAAATTCAAAAATAGACAAAAAATATAACTATATAACTATTCCCAAAATAAAAAATCTCCCGTTATTTTAAATTCAAATTTCTTAGGGTTATTTTTGTTCAAATTTTGATGTTGATTTTTTCAAGGTGGTGGTATAAAGATGTCTGTAAATATAGATAAACATTATTTCTTCCATAATTTAATTATTTATATCCCAGTTTCTTAAATATTGTTGATGTATATTTTTTAAAAATTAAATATCATCATGGCGCCTGCACCATCTTTTGTGAAAACATCGATTAAAATTAAATTCTTTTGACTTTCTTAGAATCAAAAGTCTGCGTTTATGTTTACGATGCCGTTTAATATAACCGAGAATAACACGTTTGTAAGGGAAGATCGAAGGACGAAGACCAGATTTTGAATTGACGTCCTTTTGGGAGGACAAGAATTTATAAAATTTTGTTTGTGTGCTCTTATCCCTAAATCATTATTTTGTGCTTTGGTAAAAATTTAAAGAAAATTAATTATTTAGTTTTTTTACATTGAAAATTCAGTTCGCGAGCTGAAAAAACATTTAGAGGTCAGCTCAGGTCAGCTCGGGTCAGATCAGGTTAGGTCAGGTCAGGTCAGCTCAGGTCAGGACCGAACAGGTCAAGTCAGGTCGGATGAAGTCTTGTTTTACAATAATTTGAGAAAAAATTGAAAAAAATCCAATGGGATTCCTAGTGTTTTATTTTACAAAGAAACTGAAAAAATGTCAGGAGCCTCTGATTTTCTGATAAAAAACAAAATGAAAAAATGTTGGAGATTTCTAATGTCTTATTTTAAAAAGAATCTGAAAAAATTTTTGAGGCGCTCTGGTGTTTTAATTTAGAAATAATCTGGAAGGATCTCGGGGTTCACTGCTTTCTTAATTTAAAAAGAATCTCAAAAATCTCGGGAACCTTCAATGTTTTGATTTTCAACGAAAGTAAAGAAATCTTGGGAATGGGAGTACTTTGATTTTAAAAGAAACTGAATGAATGTCCGGGGATTTCTAGTGTTGATTTTAAAAGCAGCTGAAAGAATCTCTGAAGCTCATAGTGTTTTGATTTTAAAAGAAGCTGAAAGCATCTTTGGGGCTCCTAACGTTTTGATTTTGAACGAAGCTAAAAGAATCTCGGGCATTTCAATTTTAAAAGAAGTTAAAGAAATCTCGTCGTCTCCTATTGGTTTGATATTAAAAGCATCTG